TTTTAGATGCAGAACTGTAGCTGATACTTCATACATGGTGAACACTTATGGATCTTTCCTTTAAAGTGGAGTTGAAGTTTTTGGAGAGTTTGGGCTGAAGATCAGAATTTTGTTTCTTTTCAAGAGATGCCTTTACAGGCTTTGAAAGTGAAATATTTTCCATGCTGTTTATGTCATGTGTGTACTAACACAGGTTTTTACAAGACTTAGTTTAACTGTAAAATGAATTGAGAATTTGCAAGTAACCCAAAATTATCTACATTTTATTTGCTGTTAAAGTGAATATGTATAATCTTGGACAAATTTTTCAAGATTATTTCTAACAGATAATGTAAGTGCTTGCCCACTCAGTGCTCAGACAGACAGGCTCCTTCAAAGCAAGTTTGCATTGTTAAAAAAGCTACTGCCCTCAATTGAGGTATATTAGTTAATAGACCTTAGGGGATGCAGAGTTCTTCTCAAATTTAAGGCAAGCCCAGAAGCAGGATAGCTAAGATCACCTTCCAATAGTATCCTCTCCCACCTATCTACAATACTATTTTTCAGACAGTTTTTGACAGATATAGAGACTCAAATCCAGTCCAGTTACAGTCAGACATAGGGATGAGATATCTGGGGAAGTTTCATAATTCCTTGAGGATAGAGATACCTGTCACCATACCATCCACTCTAAATTACTCTTTGGTGATGCCTCTTTCTTTCTATTGGTGGCACTGGTCATCTAGGACACCTAGAAAAAGCAGATCTTAGTTAAATTGTAAAAACTGGGACAATAGTTATTTCATCTTAAACAGAATTACAGTTCCTGAGGCCACTTTGGAGTATATGCCTGAGAATCTAAGAGTATAATGTACTTCTCCTATAGAGTTAATATTTCAACTGTATTTGTATCATATTTGAAGCTTATCTCTAAGATGGGATATAGACACCAAATCTCAGTCACCATCCTGAATATATTTTTTCTGCTCAGAAGAGACTACTAAGTATGTTGTAAAAAATGTAGTAAAATATAATAAAATGTGATAGCAAATAAGTCTCTTCTAGCTTGGTAAACATATTAGGTTTAGAAGGCTGTATTTGGTCCAGAAAGCTATAAACAGTTTTGTCATTAAACCTCACTGAACCCAGCATAATCCCATGTATTAGGGAAAAAACCCAGATATCAGGGCAGATCAGAAATGAAAGGAACAGCTTCGGCTTTTGTGTTTGCCTTTGTGGTTCTCAATGTTACTTGATTACATAGCATTACTTCATCTTCTGATAAGGATGTGCTGCACTGAATCGAAGATAGGAACATGAAAAAAATTGTACATAGAATAAAATCAGAGTCTCAAGCAGATTCTGGTAAAAAGATCCAGTCAGATAAAGAATGTGATTGGTTTTTTACATATGCAGTGTGTAATAAGCAAGGTAAAGCCCCAAGATAGTATTGGCTGGAACTGATCAGCTGGATTAACTTTTGTTGCTGCCTTAAAAAAAAAAAGAAGGGAGGGAAAAGGATTTGTATTTCTTTTTAGAAGATTGCAAGACCTTTCAAAAGACAGGCTTTTGTCAGGCATTATGGAGCAGCAAAACCTGCAGCAGGACATTCAAGATCATCCTGCCCACATTTTTCCTGGTAGACTATGACTAGACCTCCTCTAAAGGAGATGACCCTGAACAGTAGGAAGCTTCCCTCTCCTATCAGATCATAATTAGAACATGACAGTACTATCAGCAAAAGAATGTATATCCTGACTTGTAACTCTGCAGGGAGGATCCATCACCCCTACCATTAGATATCTAAATGTAGGCATTCCCCTTCAGATAAGAAAAAAAGAACTCTTCATATTTTGCTCCCCTTGAGGGTCAATGGAGACAAATAGGCGTTTTTAGGCTGCTGTTAGACATCTAACTCTTCACATTTTGCTCCCCTTTAGAGTCAATGGAGACAAATAGGCGTTTTTAGGCTGCTGTTAGACATCTGCTCCAGGACAAAGTAAATCACATGCCTCAGTGCAGGTGTCTCTTTTCAGATTCCATAGAGGAAGCCAGAATGAGCAGTTCGGGCATAAACATCAAAAATGTTGATGCCCTAAATTTAGTCAGATGAATCCTATATTGTGTCACAAACTTTCTTTTAAAAATTTTTGCATGTTTTTCCTCAAGAAATTGCTTAGATGGGAACAATTAAATGCTTCATTATATATGGAAGAATTTCAATTTTCAACAGATAGTCCAAGAATACCATAATAGTTACATACAACTATCGCCCAGATAAGTATAAATTTAAGGATCTGCAGATTCACAATGTGCAAATCAGTGATTTTTATTTCATTTGATATATTTGCACAATTAAAGGCACATGCAGGCACAGGGACTTCATGGAGCTTCTGAGAAGGTGTAATCAAACATCTGACTAGACTTATGCACATCCCTTATATACAAGAATTAAAACTGGCTTTGCTACCCTGGCATCAAAGTGGCCTGGAGTGTGCTCCGTCAGTTCGAAGTGGTTTGATTTTAATGAAGAAAATACTCAATACACTACTTTGGAATGGGTTGGGTTTTTTGAAAATGTACACTCATAGTGGTGTGCTCATTAAAATAAAATCACTTTGAAGTAGTGCATTCCAAGCCACATAGATGCAGAGAAAAGTTGGGAGGTTTAAATGCAGAGCAAGAAGCTGATCTGTGCAACACATCTCCAGGATAAGTAATTCATCTCTTTTTTTCTTGTGGAAAAAAGAAAAAAATGAAGGAAGAGGGAGCAGATACCTGCTGCCTATGTGAAGAGATTTGCATCATTACCTTTGTGGAAGAAGAATGAAGAGTTCTTTTAGGGACATATGGTTAGTGTAGTATGAGCAGAAATGTAACGGAGCAGAAAGGAGACAAAGACTTTAAACTGTTATAAGATGAAGGACATGCAAAAAATGGGCAATAGGAACATTTATTAAAGGGAAGAAAGATCATCTGCTTTATAAGAACAGGAAGGAAAGAACTTCACAAATTATTTGCCATGTAAGGGACTGGAATTCTCTTTCCAGTCTCGTATCTTCCTTCTTTAATTTTGTCTCAGTTTCTGCTATGTGGAGTAAGTTGATTTTGTGACCAAAATAATCCTTTTGCACTCATTCATGAGAGCTCTTAATATACATTCAAAGACAGTCGACTCTGTAGGTCCTTGGCCAAATCACTGACAGGACTTTAGGAAGAAAATAGTTTTGCACCTGAGAAAATAAAGGGATATGTTAGAGATAGGGAAGTGCAAAGAAAAAGTAAAGGTATAGATAAAGAGGAGAAAAAATACACACATTCAAAAAGAAAAAGGAAAAAAATATGGCAGAAATGGAGAACAAGCTTAAAATGAAAGTATTAGGAAGAATGAAATAAAAGCAGCAGGGAAGGAACAAGGTCTAAAATAATAATAATTTAAAAAGAAACAGACAAACAAACAAACAGGAAAGGAGAGAACAAATACACAGTTAAAACAGTCAATCTTGTCAATGAAGTATCAGAGCATCAGGCAGAACAAAAAAAAATAAGAGAAATGAGAAATAAAAAAAGAGAGAGAACAAAAATAGAGAGACGAGCACCACAGGAATTTCTTCTTTATCATGTTTGCACATTGCATTTATTTTCAGGCATTCTGTATCTCAGATTTCTATCTCTCCCATTCCTCATTTTATTCTTCAATAGCCTGTGGAGACAGTTTTTGCCAATTTTGTGACCCTCAGGAAAATGAAGTCTAGCCCTGTAACAACCCTCTCTTTCTTTCACTTGAGTGAGTAGGCCTCAGATTCCTCTGACTTCAGAAAATTGATGCAGCTTATTTTGAAGTTACTGTACAGGAGTGGGGGCAGAATCAGGTAGAGTTGATTCTAGTAACTGAAGATGTGAAGACCTGAGATTTGGTCAGTATTGTGAAGTGCAGCATATATTGCAGGCTTTGTATTATAATTGTCCATTCAATAAATGCTACATTTTCCCTCGAAGCATTCAGAAACACAAAACAAGA